TTTTATAATAATTGTTTACAATTATCTAATTCTTTCAAATTATTTTATTCATATTAATTTATTTTACAGATTTTGTTTATAAATAATTGCCCTTTAAATTATTTAAAAAATTTATTTACTATTAGCTAATACTTTTTATTGTACTTATTTAGTCTATAAGTATACTACAAAGATGTTTATTAATTATTAATAGAATTAATTATGTTTACAAATCATATTTATAAATGCTTATTTATTATATCTAATACTCTTCAAATGCTTATTTGCTACTTTACAATTCTCTTTAAATTATTTATTTATATTAATTTAATCTATAAGTATAAAGATAATTCAATAATTTGATATACATGTATATTTATTTATAATTTTTTTTTTTTAAAAAAAAAAGTCCAGGTGACCGGGTCAAAAATTTTATTTTATGTTATGTAAACCCAAAAAAATTTTGTAGCCTAATATACGTATTTATTGGGCTTTTTATTTTAATTTTAATTATAAAGTGGTTAGCTATAAATTTAATAAAAAAACCCAAAACTTGATTATAATAAATAATTGTGACGTACTTTGAGGCCACTTCAGATCACGTCGAAGTGGGTTTAAATTAAACTCCTAAAACTTATTAAAAAAATTTTTAATATTTAATTTGTATTTACGTTATTTAGACAAGTTTATTAAATATCTGACTTATTCAGATGGTTTGATTGTGTATATAATCTTTAAAATCGAATATTTATTAAAAATTTTGCTTAATTAGTCTTACATTTTAAAAGATAATCCCGATTACTATATCAAGATCACAAGAATTAATGAACAGCACCCAGATCTATATATGTATGTATAAGTTAAAGCTTCATTTTCACCAATAATCAACGGATAAGGTTATTTTTATTACAAATTAGAGCTTTAGGATTAGAACGAAAAAGTTATCGTTAGGGTTTTGGAGTGCAAGCATTTATACATACCAAATATCATTTTACCCTAAGCCATTTTTGAGGAATAGCGTCTTGTGAATTTTACCCCGCTGTAAGAATTGTACCCGGGTATAAATCGTCGTCATACTGACAGTATAATGACTTAATTGGATAACCCAGGTAATTTCAACAATATCTACCCCGGTGAGCGTTTATTATATTATATACAGTATTTATTATCATTTTATATATAATTATTTTTTAATTAGTTTAAAAACAAACATTCAAACAAACTGTAGCATGATAGCAAAAAAAAATTTTTTAGGTTTCTCAAATAAATAATTTTATATTATCACGTGATAGATTGCGAAACTGTACAAAAAAAAAGAACCTGTTAACACTAAAGATAAAATATTCCCCGCTAATACAGTACTAAAAATTATTGGAACATTTTAGCTCAATATAAAGTTTATTTTATTATACATTGCATTTACATGAGAAAACTAATCTTGAATATTATTTATGTCTAAAAAAACTAGCGGTAAGGCCAGTTCATACATTTCGGGAATAAGTTCCACAATCAGTATATTTATTTATGCAGGATAATGCATGCAAATTAAAGTTTCAGTTTTTTGTGAAAACTTTTTTTTTTTTACAGTCTATCTGTCATACAGACCTACACGAATTTGCAGAAGGATCCGGTCACCCTCCAGGTAGATCTAGGCACGTAAGCACAAGAAATTGATAGTAGTTATGTATTTTAGCAGAAAGGATAAAAGGGAAATATGACGATTTTTTAGAAATGAAAGATTGGGTGAATCTTTAATTGATCACCCTTAAATAGAGCGGATCAACCGAAAAATTCTTAATATAAACATTGAATAAAAACGATTCAGGCGATTAAGGAGGTACAAATCTAGTTCATGGGGAGAATTGACAAAAGCAGAACAGGTCGACGGTATCAGATCATTTCCTGATATAAAGCAAATTATCGCAGAATTGCAGTATCGCAGTATTGAGTTGCAGTTTTGCAGAGATAAAAAAAAAAAAAAAATTAAATCATCATACATAAATAAATAAAAATGACAGGTACTGCAAATTCAAGAAAGAATTTCAGGAGTTTAACGTAAAAGGAGGTTAATAATTGAAAGAAATAGCTCAATAACGAAATATATAAATAGTAGAAGGAATGATCGAACGAAAGTAGCAGAATGTTTGTGTACGAGGCGCAGCAAGATTTACGATTTTTCCGAACATTCTAATATTTGAATATTTGTTGATTATTTATATGGAACACAAGAATGAACGGTTGTAAGTATTGTTATATTGTATACGTATATATTATGTATATTATGACAGATCAAAATTATAGTTATACATGTGACCATCGCATATTAATTATTTCCTATTTTTAATAGAGTTCACGTCCATGGTACAGTACATAATTTAAATTCATTTATTAACGATATATAAATAAAGATGACGGTAACACACGAACACTAACACAAGCAGGGAAAAAGTGTTTGAGGGGAAGAGGGGGGGAAATCAAAAGAAAAAATGATCAACGGTTGGACAAACCAAAAAATCCAAACTGAAAATAACCGCGTGATAATAATGAATTTCCTCAAGGGGGTGACATTGTCGTCGCTCACATTGATGCAAAAAGTTGGAAAGAAGAATGGTTGGCAAAGAGGGCACGTTACTTTGTGAAACGAAAGAAAAAAATACCAAGGCGCAGTAAATAAGATCCAGAGTCACACGGCGTATCTTTTTAACAAATATGCGGGGCAAGTGGGCCAAATTCCTTTATTGGGAAATAAGACTGTTTTGCTGTTTTCCACCTTGTAACGCTTTTAACTCTTTTTTGCTTTGTAACACTCGTGATATCACATTATTTTTAAATTTTCACGGTATTTAGTTTATATAACGAATAAGTGTATAATTAGTATATGTGTACAATATAGTGAATGTGTATAGTGTGAAATGTATACATTTAGTGTATACAATAAATGTATACTGTATACACTCACCGTATATACTCCTGTATACGTTCACTGCATATACTCATTGTACACCTACCTACCGCATACTCAACTGTATGCAGTGAGTGTATACAGTGAGTGTGTGGCATGTACATCTTATACATCTTATGTTTGTAATTTATAGAAATGAATAATCTTGATTAAAGTCAAATTGGAAAATATGAGAAACACAACATATAAAAAAAAAGTTCCAATTCTAGTTTGACGCCCTCCGTAAACCTGCTTTGTTTTTTTGTTTTTTTTTGTCACAGTTTTGTGCAGGAGAAAAAAAAAGAGTTTATTATTTATACTAAATATTTACACAAATTTGCAGTATTGTTTTATGGAACGAAGAGCGGTCTAAAACCAGAAATTTATTTCAACATTACGACACAATTAAGAAACGATCGAAAAAAAAGCGCATTTAGGATGGAGGTTATTTTTAAAAGGCTATTTAAAGAGAAACTATCTAAAGCTTGTTAACTATAAGAGTATAATGAAGGTAATTACGCGCATTCTCGGTGGAGTCTAAACTATAATTCTGTAATTACCGTTACGCATATCCATTACTTCAAACTGCTACAGAGTCTAAACCGTAATCGGCAACCCGCTGCTGTAATTTCCGCATTCAAAATGATTGATTGATAATGTAATGTACGTTAAATGTAGATTGTGAAATGTAAAGCGTATGCTGTTAATTTTTTTTCCTTTGTGCGGCTCATGCGGGGCCTTCAAGTGCGGTATGAAACTTCTGCATAAAAATCTTTGCATTACATACTGTATTTTGGAAATTCGCTTTAACTTCCGCTGTTGTAGTCAGTTAAGCTTAACATTATTATATATAAATATTTTGAAATTCATTTTTCATTATTTAAATATTTTTCGTTATTGTTTGATAATTATATGATATTTTCTGTAGATATTTTCTATACTTCGACATTTTTAATATTTGTGATGAATGAATTCTAATTCTAACATATCATAACAAAGAATGATCGTTCCAGATTTTAATAATATCAGATATCGATATTACAGTATTAATTACAATATTTTTAATAGTTATTTTTTGTTCTTGTCGTTATTTAATATGTTATTCGTTATTAATATCTCTATTAATATAGTTATTATAATATCGTTGTAATCACTATTGAACCGATTTTTTTTTTATCAATCTTCTCAATACAGTATAAAATATATAAAATAATATATATAATAATATACTCGAATAATACACACATAATTACTTGAATAGTTTATTAAAGTATTTTTATTTATTTATTTATAATATGTAAGTAAATATGTAAGGTGAATAAACATAAACTATTAAAATTCGGTGTACGTTAAATGATACAGTTTGATACAGTAAATCATAGTAAATTATATACTGTGCAGCAGATAATAATAAATAAAAGTACGTTTTTACATACATGTATACTATGATTAGCATAAATGGTTTAAAGTAAAGATGTTTAACTAAGTTCACATAGTCTTGATACGGTTGATTATTTTTTTTTTTTTCTCTCTTGTGAGCCCATATATGCAGTGACACTGCAGCCTACTTTTACGATTAATACCACGCCATTTTCATATTTTTTAATCTTGATACAATATACTTTAAAATTTATTAAACTAATAAAATATATTTATGTATTTTAAAATTGTTTATTTTAAGTCCCGTATATAAATTTTGATTACTTGAATAAAATAAATTCAACTAATTTTTTTTTTTTTTTTTTTTTTTTTTTTAACTGTACTTTAAAATCTTTTTTTTTATGTTGAGAATGTTAGACCTTTTTTTATAAGTTGACTTTCTAGTTTTCTGTAAAAATTCAAAGGTCTTGTGTTGTGCGTTGTTCTTTCTCTATATTTTCTACTTGTGAAAAATTTTTTATTCTCTTTGTCTTTTGAAATGCCAAAAACTTTTCTTCTAAAGCTTTCTTTGAATACTTAAAAAGAGTATATACTTAAAAGAGTATATATATAATATATATAAACATTTTTTTTTATACTAAATAACTACATTAAAATTTTCTTTCTCTGTATTTGTACACGCACAATATAAAAGAAAAAAATGAACTCACGTAAAGCTTCAATATCTCATGTTATGAACGATAGTTCTGTTGTTGCTTCTTCCTCGGACCATCACCTTTCTTCAAACTCTGGTCATAGTCTGAGGAACCTACTTTCTGATGACGGCCCTGCCCAACAACACGCGTCTTCTCAGCAACAGTACCACCACAGTGCCGGTAATAACAGTGGTCTAAGTAATGGTACTTATGGGGCTTATCCGAACGAACAAGGAAGAGATTATTATTCCCATGTACAGCAGCAGCAACCACAGCAACCTGTTCATAATCAACCTCTTTCTTCACATGAACAAAACAATCGTCCATCATTTTTAAATAATGATGTTTCTGCTGACGCTGATGAAGCTAGTAAAACTCTGATTCTTCTATCACAACGTGCTCCTTCTTCCCATTACGGGTCATCAAGAGATCATTATTCCTCTAAAGATAATACCCAACAGATATCTGACGTTGAAATAGCTGCTTCCGCTATTTCTTCTTTATCTCATTCTCCAGATGATACAAAATCAATTCATCCTCAGACAAACGTGAGTCTTGATTCTCCATTATTTCCTACAAGAATACTTTTTCTTTCCCGTGGATCTTCTTCTAAATCTAATATTTAATCTTTTGATATCATGGTTATATAGCAAAGAACTAGAACAAAAAATAATTTTATGGCTATCTCTTCGTTAATATCAGGTTAGTTTAATTCTAGTTTTCTTTGCTCTCTTAACTCCTTAGAATTTTATTAATTTTTTTTTTCTCAATTGATCTAGGCGATGAGTCGACTTCTTCAGATCCTATTCAATCGATGCAAGCGGCTCCTACTTCAACAGTTAGTACTTTTTCTTTTCCATTTAATCTTTGATTTTTTGTTAACATCATCTAATATTTTTGTTTTCATTCCTTTAGCAGGATACAACGCAAAGATATTACCCACATCACCATCATCATGAACATCATGACCAATATACTGATGAAACGAGAAACGGTGACATACCTTCTCATCATCATCATCATAGTCATCACCATCATCATCATCAGGCTCAAAATCAACAAAATGTAGACTTTAATTCTTATAATGCAAATAATAATGGTAATGGCAGGAAATCTGCCAAGCGTCCTTTGGTAATTATATTTTATTCATAAAAAAAAAAAAAAGATTAAAAAGAAGAATAATAATTTTGCTTTACTTAATACTCACGTGATTTTAACCTCCTAGAATGGTTCACCAAGTCTACCCATTGCAAAGGGATTTTCGAAAAAGAGTCCGCAGAAACGACGGCCATCTGATCCGAACGAGAATTGTATGTGCTATTTTAATTGGATTCAATTTCGATTTATTGATTTTTAAATATGTTTCCACCTGACTCTTCATGTATCTTTGATCAGCTCAAAGAAAGATACACCGTTCTCCAGATCATATGCCTTATCCATCAGGTGGTCAAAAGTATTCTGATTTACGTGAGCATCCAGTAGAAGAGCAAAAACCGCCAATTCATTTGGTTCCTGTTTCACAAGGTTGTCATAATTATAACTAAATTAATTGATTAATTAATTAATTAATTAAATTATGATTAAAATTTTATTAATTTATTTTTTTTTCTTTATTATAAAAAAATATATATATAGGAGGTCCAACCAATTCAATGGATTGGGATCATCAGATGCCACCACAACAACAATATAATCAATCTAGATCTTTACATAACGTTCCACCGACTGATCATCCAGGTCGTTTTCAACCAAAAACCAGTGGTTCACCACCGATGCCTGCTGATAAATCTATGAACATTAAACCTCATTACGCAATGAATCCGAATGAAAGGACTCTGGCAAAAACTTCTCCAATTCATCCTTCAAACGGTTATGTTCCAGGTGTTGGTGTAGATGGTATAGTTGGAAATCCGGTTAGTATTTATTTTAATATAAAATTCGATAACACTTAATACGTTTTTCAACTGTTGTCTTTAAAGTACATTCCACTAATGCCAACATTTATAATTTTAATTTATCGTCTATAATTTATAATTTATAGGATATGCTACAACCGGCACCACATCAGCCTATTACACAATCAATACCTCAACAAAATGGGCAAATTCGTCCACAATCATCAAATCCTAATTTTTGTAGAATGTATAATGATATGGTACGTTAATCAAGTTTTCTTAATTACAAACCGGCTTTTCATTATGAGGTGTGGTTACGTGATCTATAAATTCATTTTTGCAACAGCAGAAGCATAATACTAAAAAAAAACGGAATGCCAGTCATGCTTATATTTCGTATATGATCTATACAAAGGTCCGTAATTCTTTACCATAAATTCCTCATATTTATTAGTGGGAAATTATATATTATCAAAATTTCAAAATTTGTACGTGTGCAATTTTACTAAATTACAATATCTCTTTTTTTTTTTTTTTATCGATTACTCTGGTGCGCATCCGTTTGAACTCTTTTAGTCTCTCCAAGATGTTAGTGAGAACGGTAGGATTAATAAAGAATATAATTTACCTCCAAACAACAATATGATAAATCGTCCGGTGATGCCAGAGAGTTCTCCCCCCATGAACAATGAACATATGGTAAATCCGTCAATAGTTCATCATCATCATCCACCGCCAGTTAATGGTAGTATATACCCTCCTCGTGTGGATCATCCCGGATATCCATTACAACCGAGCAATCCTGGGTATATACATCCTGAGGCTAATCCACAAAGTGTGCAACCTCGTCGTGTTTCGGATTCTCCAATGCATCCACAACCAAATTCAAATCCAATTTCTCTGTCACGTGGCTACTCTCATCATGGACCTCCCGTGCCAGAGCCACAACCACCGCATACTTCACATCGACATTCGATTGGTTCTCATCATACTTCTCCTAGTTTATTACCTACTCATATTCAATCACAGAATCATTCAATTAGACATAATCCATCTATGCCAAATCTTCATTCTGATCCTCAACACCGAACTCCTCCATCTCCTTTATCTCGGTCAGGGAGCGTTCCCCGTCAACCACCGACGACTCTGCCTCCATTGCAATCGTCTCCTTCTCATTCACAAACACTGCATCATCATCATCATCATCATCCTACTCCACACCATGCTCATCATTATTCTCAAGATCATCAATCACACCATAGTCATACTCATCATCCTCATGTGCATCAGGGGCATCATTATCATCAACCACACTCAAGTCAACCTTCATATATGTCTCAACCTCCTCCTACGCAGGGTCCTTCTCCTCATATATATAATGGTAAATCTTCTCCGGTGCCACCTTCACTAATACCGCCGCAATCTCCAGCTATGAATCATTATCATAGCTCACAACCAGGTTTAGTTTCGCAAAACGGGTCACGCTTACCACCCGTAGGATCTCATCATCATAGCTCGCAACCTCCTGAACCAGTTGGTCCATCAAATAATAGTCCACATCAAATTATAAGTCAACCGTTAACCAACTTTTTACGGGATCAACCTAATGCATACGGTAGTGCACACCCACATAATATACAACCAAATGGTTTAAGCCCAGTTGGTCCACCATCACATGTAGGCCCATTAAATAGTGGTCCCAGAAGTGCTAGTGGTTATTATTGATTAATAATATTAATAAGATAGGAAATATAAATCAAAGTGGCAAAATTTTGAAAAAAAAAATTTTTTCTTTTTCGGACAGTTTTTTTCTTTTTTTTTTATTAATGCATACTAGATTTACGAAAATTGGTTATTTTATCCTATTTTATAATCAATTAACGTAGACAAAAAGTAACAAAGCAAATTATTAATTGCTTTTCATTAACTATATATACATAATGTAGTTTCATTTTTTCACTTTTGTATCGCGTATATGTATATGGCGAATTATTCTTTTTTTTTCTTGTATAAAGATTTTAACGCATCTATCGTCTTATATTAATCACATTTATGTACAGTATTGTTTTTTTTTTTTTTTTTCTTTTAGATAGCATAAATACATTGTAGTTGCAAGTGAAATTTATTCAAATTGTCATTCGCTAAATAAAAAAAATCATTCAACCTATATATTACACATCCGCTTGTTTAGCTAGCATTAACGTTATAAAAAATTGTTACATTCACGTCAGAATGTCATATGAAAGTAATAGTCATGTGATCTAACATTATCGGATCCATGTCCGTCTTGGCATAATTTACACAAAGATCTTCGGTAGTAGTGTTTCGATGCGGAGATTACGGTAGATTTTTGATTACGGATGAAAAATTTATTTCATTTAAATTTTTCATAAACACGTCTTACGTAATCTCATTTAATTTATTATTTATAATTTATACGTATTCAAATAAATAAAGGTTCAAATATATATCGAAACATATGTATACATACATATATGTAAATTACACTAAAGTTCAAACACAATAAAAATTTTTTCCATAAAAATTTTGGAATAGAAGTCAAAATAAAATTAAAAGTTAGGATTTTTTGAAATGCCAAGTATTTTAATTTAAAGTACCAAACATTATCGCTATCGCTATAGTCATAAAACGTTATTAAAGCTTGAAACAACCGGATTTGCTTATGTGAAAGATAATTTACTAGTACTTTTCAAGAAATATAATTATTAGCAATAGACATAATAAGTATAGATTCTAGAGTCATGACATGCTATTTCATCAGTGCAGAAAAGATACTAGAAATTAATCAGACAAACTTCTTTTTTTAAAAAAATAGATTTATCATCATTTGTACGTAACGCATTAATTCCATTCATTAGTTTACAAAAAAGTGTGGTTTGAAAATAAATTTTGATTGGCTTGTTAAGACCATTGTACGGGAAATCGGATTGGACGTAACATATTTCTTGTTAATACGTACTGTAATATATTTTTTAATATATATAATTCAGTATAATCATTATTAAATATTGTTACCTGTTACATACATAGTCGTGCGGGTTAAAAATTTACCTTATATGATCTTATTATGTTACGTACTACTATTGTCACGTTACAAATAATATGTGAATCTATCACGTTAATCAAGTACTGGCAATCAAATGAGGTGTCGTCATTCAAAACGTAGCATAGTGAGAAGTGATAAAAATTTAGGGCAAGTCTAATTGTAACATGTTACTTGTAACAACTTACTTAGTATTGTCTACAGTCATTGTCAATTAGACGTGCCCTAATTTTTTATCATTTTGTGTAACAATTTTTTTAAAAAAATCACTAATCTCACTATGTTACAAATGTTTAAAGAATAATTAATGTGTAATTGAGACCAATAACCAAAAAGTTACAACTTAGCAGTTTTATTTAGTGACTCATCAAATTTTTATGCTTACTGATTTTCATGTATCTCTTCAATTATGCGATTCTCGCCATCGCTGACCCGGATGTAAGCACGTGACAAACAATCGAAACCTAAAAACGTGACTCAAAGCCATAAAATTCAGGACTTTAAATGCACATTGGTTAACACGAGAAAAAAGCATTTTGATAAATGCTAGTTAATTTGGGCTTATGATGAGGCGAAGCCTATTAAGAACAATCGATAACACTTTCGGGATTCAAATGGTGGGCATAATCGTGTAATTGAGCATGAATTACTATTGCTTGTCTTAGAATTCTTCTCCCTCCCGCTACTCTAAATGGGTATGTATCACTTCGTAGAAATTTAGTTCACAGTCACCTTGTTTCACAGACAATCAATTCGTAGACAAGTTTATTTTAAAGACAATTAATTTACAGACAGTTCATTTTATAGATATTTCATATTGTAGACAATCTTTAACACTGATTCAGAAGTTATTTGCTATTAAAGATTGTCTATAAAATAAACTATCGATAAAATGAACTGTCTATGAAATGAACTGTCTGTAAATTAACTGTCTTTAAAATAAACTCGTCTATGAACTGATTGTCTGTGAAACAAGGTGTCTGTAAAATAAACTTATACGAAATGATACGTACCCACTCTAAATAGTCTTATTATTTGAGCTCTAGATTAGTTCTAATTGGAGTAGCAAAGCCCCAGATGCAATCCATCACGTATAAAAGGAACCATTACTAATATAAAAAAAAAAAGAGTTTTTTGAGAATTAAATTCTTTGTTTCATAAAAAAAGAAAATAATCAGCTGAAATTATAATCAAATATGATATGGAAAAATTTGTAGTAAAACCAGATACTGTGTCTGCTTTTTTTACTAAAGGATATTCTGTAAAAAGCCATTTAGATAATGACGAGATGAAGTAAGAAGAAAAAATATTTTCGCTATAATATTCAGTTTGTAAGGTTATTGTTGGCTGGAGGGTCTATATGTATCTTTTCAAAAGATGATATTCATCTTATCTCCGATCACTTTACTATAACAAGCCATTTAGATTTTCTTAAATTTCTAAATGCAGTTGTGCGAAGTCAGGTAACAACAGTCCTTACAACTTTGGGGTTAACATAGTCAAGTATATATTGCATTAAAATCATCCAGTGGTCGCGTTTCGATCATCGTTGAAGATCCCGAGAAATTTGATACAACTAGTCAAGGCCAATTCAGAAATCATAACTTTGTAAAGGTAAATAAACCTTATGATTCCCTGAAGTATGACATGTCTTTATAATTTTGACATGAAAATTTACAATTGCAGTGCATGTGTACGATCACCGAAAACTTTTTTGAAATTATATAGAAGATTGTTCATCGATGCATGTATGAAATTTAGATCATCGAAAACTACTAAATCTATTTCTAGAGATCAAAGAGAACTATTTTTAATATAATGGATGTGACCTAATTACTGAAGAAGATTGTGAAGGGTGGATAACACAACTTCTTCAATATAGTTGAAAATTTAACTATAATGAAATAGGTAATAATAAAATCGTTGGGATCAGGCTTAGAATCGAAGTTGCTCTTAATGATAATTTTGATTCTTGTTCCTGTTTCACAAAAATATTATAGAGGTGAATTTCAAGTACATCTTCGGCTACCCAACGAAATTTTAAATTAGCAGAGGGTAAAAGACGTAGAATTGGATCAAAGGCTGATAGTATTAGGACGTAAAAACAAGCAAAAATTCTATGCTACTGCAGCAGTATAGTATGCATTTAATATAAATTTCTAAAAAAAAATATCGCTAGTTACTTATTTGTTTTTAAATAAAAGCTCGTCTGACTTTTTAAATTATGATTTTTTAAAAAAAATCTCATAAGTTATGACAATAGAATGAAGTGTTTTAGATTAATAAAATAAACAATTTATTAGCAGTTAGCAAAAGTGCCGTCCTCTAATTGTACAACATTAACTAAAGTAATAAACTAGTAACTCGGAATAATATAGTTATCCGGTGAACCGGTTAACAATCCGGTAATGTGATCCGTAAACAGGTAAGTATCTAATGTTTAAATTCTATGGCGGGACCAAATATTAATGGTATTTAATTCCGATGCGAATTTATCATTATAAGTAAATCAATGGCACTATGTAGCTAGACTAAATTCTATGTTTAAAAAACAATATCGATATAATTTGGCCTGCCAACTAAGACAAAAATATAACTTATTTTAATGCCCATGAAAAAAAAAACTGTAATTAGCGACGAGTAATGTAAATAATATATATTTATCGAGGCGAAGCTCAAATATTAGAATATCGGTGAGATCTTAAACTGTTGGGGCTTAAGCGGATCTAAAGCATTACATTATTATTTATTGGAAATATTGCAATAACACTGTATTCCGGTTGAAGGTTTATAGCACTAATTAAAAAACTTTAATGCCAATTAAAATATCGTGCTGTATCACATCATCAATCCCTGATGTATCTAGGAATACTTGCCCGAGAGAGGATAAAATTTTTTTTGTAACATTTCTCATTGATCTAAATCCATTATTTGAATAAATTGCTTGCGCACTAATATCTCTAATGAAATAAAGTATATTTTGATGTTACACAAGAAAGTAAGACTCAATATATATACAAAAAAGACTTTTTTTGTAATGATCAAAATCTTATGAGTGAATTATCATTATAAAATCGATCTGCAATTTTTGAAAAAAAATTGATCGGCTAAGCCCTTTAGCAGAGTTTTTCAAGATCACTAGCCTTATTCTTCGTAGCCTGTGCAAGTAACCTAGCTTGTTTCTTCTTACGTTCATAGAATTCCTTACTCTTCTCTTTACGTTTATCCTCAAGTTTTTTAACAATATCCTTGTATTTCCAACCGACTTCAGAGGAAAGACGAGAAATTGTGGAATATTTGCGACCAGGTTTAAGACGCAAAACTCTTAATGCATCAGGAATAACCATACGTTTTTGTTTGTCATATGGAGGTGGTATTCCTTCAAAAATCTTGAGGCGACCCAGAGCAGCAGCACCACGTGGAGTCTTATGCGGAACCATACCACGAATAGTTTTAAAAATGATCTTGGAGGGTGCACGGAAGTGGAAAGGACCACGCGCAGGATTGACAATCATACGCTTACGGAGGTATCCATGGTATTTAACTATACGTTAAATATTTATCATCATATATAAAATAATTTATTTTTAAGTAATTAATATAATGTAAAGATAATTATGATAATTAAAGTAGAAAAAAAATTGAATATACTCTTATTTCTAAAGAAGGACCCGGACACATTCACCTCCTCAGCACGTACAATGACTATCTTTTGGCCAGTTAAAATCTGTTTTGCCACAATAGATGCCAAACGCCCGAGAAGGTGACCCTTAGCGTCAACAACAATCACCTAAAAGATCAATGCGGTTTAATGTTATTGGTTCAGTTAAAAAAAAATTAAATAAATAATTGAAAGTTAAAATTTCCTCCTAAAATTTTAACAGCCTGCCTTTATAATTTCCGCATAATCAATACCTTTTCAAAAGTTCTCATATTGGCAAAAGCACAATAATTTTGAAATGGATCTGTCGTCCTTTATTTGAAGAGGGGGATCCATCAAGTTTGCTCAAGTGCTTTTAAAAAAAAAAAAAATTTTTGATGATTTGTGAGACCAAGATCGTGTAACACTATCACGTGCATTTGTATAAATTATATGATCCAAAAAGAAAAAAAACTATAAAAGGGACAACTCATTAACATTTTATTCCCGTTAGAGTTTTAGACGTTTAAAAGATGCGCACTTTTCTAGCAGTCATTATAATTTTATTATCTGCGGTATGCCTTACGACAGCATATACAATAACAGTTCAACCAAGTACAAGGGAATGTTTTTATGAAGAATTACGTCAAGGCGATAAAATGACCATTACTTACCAAGTTGGTGATGGTGGACACTTGGATATCGACTTTGTGGTAAATGTTTAATTGTTTTTGTGGGAGACGGTGCGTAAATTGGAATTAAGAACAAAACCAACCAATGAATAGATATAATAGATATGGTGTAGGAACTAGTAACAAATTGTTTTAACAAATTGTTTTAACAAATCTACTGAAGTGTTCACAATATATTTTTATAAAATATTATAATTCTTTAGATAATGGATCCGAATGACCATCTTTTAGATTCATCTGAAAGACAAAGCACTGGAACATTTAGTTTTAATGTTGAAGTAACCGGTCGATATACTTATTGTTTCAGTAATGAAATGTCAACTGTATCTGAAAAAATCGTTAGTTTTAATGCCCATGGAATTGTTTCTGCCCCAGATGATGGATGTGAGTTTAAAATTCAAAAATCCTTGTTTTTAAATTCTTATGTGGAAAATTTTTATTATATCATTGTAAATGTTAATCAAATAATACATATATTTTATAATAGCACATACAGATCCTTTAGAAAAGGAAATTCGTGAACTTGCTGAGGGTCTTGCTGCTATTAAGGATGAACAAGAATATATAGTGATGCGAGAACGTATACATAGAGATAGTAAGTACTCAAATTTGTGGTCAATATTATTCAACAAATTGAATTACGTAATTAAACATTTACACTATCACTTGTAGCCGCTGAAAGTACGAATGATCGAGTTAAATGGTGGTCAATTTTTCAATTTATTGTTCTTTTTGGGGTATGTTTTTGGCAAGTATTTTACTTAAAGAGATTTTTCGAAGTAAAACGTGTGGTTTAAAATTAGAATATTACTAAATATAGCATTTATTCTGAGAATGAAATTTAAGTCAAAATATTGGTATTTGTTGTTATTTATTATTTTCTCTAGATATGGTTATTTCTTTTTTAAAAAGGTGTCTTTAATTAATATATTGGCAAATCGACACTGTTTTAGATGACATAATTGAAGTTTATTAAAATGTAATTTGTAATAAAGAGTTTTTTTTTTTTTTTTTTTTTTGTAAAAATTATATATACAAAAAGATTAAAATCTGCCAATAAGAGTTAGTAATTTTCTACCCTAAATAGTTAATTATACTTAAATGTTATATAAATAAGTGTTATATTAAGATTCATCCTTCTTAATAACGTTGTTTTTATTGGAGATTGTTTTTTCCAAATAGCTGGTAACTAATTTATCCAAATAACCACCACCATTAGTTTCCCCCAAAAGCATAGGCTCAACAATTTTTTCTACATATTTACCCAACATATCAACTTCAATATTAACCTTATCACAAACTTTTTTCAAAGGCATTGTAACATGGCTTTGAGTATATGCAACTAACATAATATTAAACCAATTTTCTGCATCATTTACTTCGCAAACAGTTAATGAAGTACCATCTAGGCAAATATAACCCTTGGGGATTATATAACGAAGGTATTTAGGATCCGAAGGTGAAATTTTGATCCAAAGAGAATTTCCTTCTGGAGTCATCGAAATTATTTCTCCTGTTGTATCAACATGACCCTATAATAATAATGAATGAAAAATAAGAGAACAGATAGAATGTAGAACTATTTAAGATATTGATCATGTAATGGTTAATATTAATATCAGTAAATAAAATTATTGGCGGATATCGCGCCATTAGCACGCATGATATGTTATTATCCAATACATGATCCAATATCAGATGGTATCATGACCATGCTTCACCAATAAGTATGACTTAGTCATTATTCAGAATTAAGTCATGGTCATATTATAATTATTGATATAGTTTCTTTACTTGTACAAAATGACCACCAAATCTAACGTTGGCTGCAAGCGCTCTTTCTAGATTTACTTTATTTCCGATTACCAAATCACCTTTTTATATAAAATTTTAAAAAATATTTTGATTATGTTAATAAATAAACTGTGAAAAACACGTATCTATTCTTACCAAGGTTGGTTCTTCGAAGCGTTTCAGGAGAAAGCCCAACTTTGAACCATTCAGTCCCAAAGTCAGTTACCGTTAAACAAGTACCTAATAGAGAGAATTTCGATAAAATCCATGAAATTCTTTTTTTATTTGTTGATATATTATGAAAAAAAAAAACTCATACCATTAATGCTAATGCTGTCGCCAAGCCTACAATCAGATAGTACGGGCTCGGCGTCCCCAATTTTCATTGACCAACCATCACCACCAGTATCTGAATGATCCAATTGTTGGATCTCTACAACCTCTCCCATGTGTTCTACTATTCCCGTAAACATTTTAAATTAGATCCAGATATTTCTAATAGACAAGCAACCTTATTTATATCAGTTATCGATCTAAAAATTAAAATTTCACCCGCATTAAAATCGACAAATCTAATTCTGGTTAAAAATTTTTTATAAAATTCACGTAATTTGTAACAAAATAAACCAATCATAATGCAGAAACCGGAGTGCCAAAAATTTCATGTGATTTTACAGTACTAAAAACACACGTAAAGAACTTTTTCTCAGACTTATTATTAGGCCATATAAAATTAATTTTTTGGTTCTCATAAAATTTTAGAAATGACCCGGCAACCCGGCTTTTAATTTTATTTTCAAAAGAATTTATATGTAAAAAACATACAAAAATTTACCGGATAATATATATAGGATATTATTTTTTACTATATGAATTTATTATAAACAGTTTGTATATGTATATCTATTGGGTGGAAAGTGACCCAGACTTAATAGTAAGATAATTAAAACACGTTATTGTCATTAAGCTCTCGTGGTATATGTCTTTTTATAATAAACAGGCGTTAAGGGATGGGTAAATGGTACAGTACTGCGTTAAAGTTTTTTTTTTTCTAATTGGCTAACATCTATTTATTTATGGGTGACTAATACAAACTTCTGAAAACTAAAGCGAAGCAATTATTTAAACTAACCGTTGACAGGACCCCGGATAATTCTAAAAAAGGTGTTTTTGGCCCAAACTTTCTGAATTCTGGTCAAAATAAAATAAAAATTTTAATTTTGGCCAAAAAAAAAAATAAAATCTGGACACCAGTCACATGATCGACATGCAACAGCAAATAGAAAACTATACAATATAAAATAATTATTTATATAAGTAGAGAATATATAGGTCAGTTTTCATATGATTTTTGTGATACTGCAGTACTGTAAGATTTATACGTACAGTACGTAATTTATAATTTATTTTTTAATTTATACGTAATTCATAGAAAATCACATTGTAAAAAGTTTATATACTATGAATTAAACTAATTATAATAACAAAAAATACTCTAAAATATATACATATATAATATATATATAATGTATATAACGTTATATTAGATTGACGATCTATATAATTGACAAGTTAATGACTACTGTTAAAACACGTTTGGTTCATAATCCATTCCTTTTTCTGTTTCATTTTCTTCTGCTCAATATTTCCATCATCGGATCCTTTACTGTTTAACTGAGATTACAATTTTGGTAAGAATATATTTCAATTGATTTGCAAAATAATGTGAAAATGAAAATGAACAGATTCTAGATAATTTTGGTGAGAATTTCGATTTTGGCGTAATCTGTCGAATTACTTATACTATTTTCTATACTTCCTATTCCTACAATTTTTAATTTCATTTCAACACGTACACAGATAACCGCAATAAATTTTTTGTCATTTTCAGTTTCATTTATAGGTAATTCACAGCTGGTTCTATGCCCTTCTTTACACGTTCAGGTCAAAAAGGATTAATTTTGCCTACTTTCGTTTCAATAGCTGCAAGAATTCCATAATTGTTCACCAAATTCAAATTTCCTTGGTAGTATATTCAAAATTCTCCGGAAACCATTTCTTTTTTTATAAATTTATTTTGTAGTTAATATCGTCAGTGTCAGGATTTTTGATTTTTGGTTGAAAATATTTATCCATTCTTCAATCTTTTCATCATGTTTGTCTATGTTCATTTATTTCAAAGTAATGCTTATCAAAAATTGAAAAATAGTTATGAATATATTTCCAAGATTACAGTGTTCCATTCCATCATCCACTGATTTAAGATCTTTTACTGTAGATTCATTTGAACACCCCGCAAAAAAACGGTTGCATTCATTTAGTGTCCATCCAATACACTCATTCATCGCTACCATCAAAAGGCTCCGTTATATTTTCCATCTTTGATTATAAATTGCTTAAAAGTACATGTTATACGTCACTTTGGAATTTATGTTAATTCTGAATTGGCAGAAGTCATTTTGGAATCATAATTTGACATATGTTATACGTAGCATGATTAGGGACGTGTCAGATATTAGCTGAGATCAGTTTACTATAAAGCTCACCCCTCCTGAGAAATTTAGTCGGAGATTTTGTCTACCTCCCCTACCCTACGATATCTGACACTTCCCTTAGCATTATAATATAATAATATAAATATATATATATAAATTAAGCGGTATATACATTTTAATATTTATTCGAGTATTGTATAATTAAATGTATCTAAACAATAAAAATCTTACGAATTGATATAAAAACAATTAAAAAACAATGAACTTCAATACTTAGACTTGTAGAGTTTCGCAAAATGTTAACCAATGATTATATTTTGAACGAATCATATATATATGTCTTATTTTTCGATTACTCATATTGAAAAAAAAATTAGAAAATTATTTGGTCATATAGAAATATATGCCTCTACGAATCAACAAGTTATTAAATCAATTAAATCAGTCAAATTGACGACGTCATTTTATAATCTGTATAAATTTTTAAAATAACATCGACATGTTATTAATTTAAAAATATCGTACGTACGTATAGATTATCAATTATCTGATTTCCATTTATACAGATTAAAATTTCTCTCAACTTCCCAACATTTCGTTCCACACAACTCGTAGAGCCTATTGGTAATTACAAAAACTCCGTTACGGTACAATTCAACATGAACTCTCTTTCCCCTTGAAATCCTCGAAAAAATTTCTATACCCTCTTATATAACTTTAAAAGCAGTGTTGGCACTGGACATATGTCCAACCATTTTTTACGTGACATAATAATTGGACATATGGGGGGTGTCAGTAGAAACCAGGCAAATTGTTTCTAAGTAAATTTTTTTTAGACTTTAAGTTAAAATATCTCAACAACTATTAAACCTAACTTGATAAAAAAATTTTTATTTTAATGCTATTTAGTTATAGAATTAAAATAAAAAAAAATTATTAAGTTTGGTTTAATAGTTGTTGAGATATTTTAATTTAAAGTTTTAAAAAAACTTACTAAAAACAATTTGCCTGGTTTCTACTAACACCCCCCATATGTCCAGCTCAATAATTTCCGCATTTTGCAAAATAAAGTACTCTTGTCAAATAGTATAGACCTCCTTCATGAATGCCTGTTATATGCAACATAATATATATTATATAATTGTGATATTAATTTTTTATATGTAAAAAATTTGTATCACATTGGTACTTGAAGTATCAATAGTTATTATAGTAAATTCAAAATTTTACTAAGAAATCGATATTGGTTTTAATTAAAATTATTTAGATGGTCAAAATACACATATTATTAAAGTTTATAGCTTTTTATTGGTGTTTTTATTTTTTATTTTTTTATAAACAAAAACTTTTAAACAATAAAAATTTATTAATAAAAAGTTATTTAATTTATATTTTAATTTCAAAAACAACTTTATTTAAAAACTCAATATTACAGAAATGTTCAATTTAACAACTTTAATACTATTTGTAATTAGCTACAGCTAACCCTCTATTAATGCACGCGTTGGGGAAAATGTGCAATTATAGAGGTGGAGGTTTAAGTCTAAACTTCAATAATTTTTTGGATTATTCTGATAAAATAATGTGCACTTATAAAGGTAAATCACGTGAATATGCATAATAGAGGGTGCAATTATGGAGGGTTGACTATATAAAGTAGCTATATAGTTACTTTATAGTAACTACAGTTTTAAAGTTACTATATGTTAGCAAATTTTAGTATACTATAGATATTTATAAATAACTTGATAAAAAATTATCTAATTAGTAAATAGGTTGAAATAAACTTTATAAGAGCATGGTGGACATTTAATTTGATTGGTTAAAAAATGTAAACAAATAAACAAAAAATGTAAACAATATGCATAATGT